ACCCATTGTGGCACGCAGGTAGCCATCCATGACTCCTTAAATGTGCCTCGCGACACGCGCAAGTCGTGATTGTATGGCGTCCAAAGGGGTGCGAGACCCCGCACTTGTTTACCCCACTTGCTGTGCGAGCTTTGACTCTACTGAGATGTGCCACAGAGTCGCGCTGTAAGTCATCATGATTGATGAGTGGCAACCGCTGACGTGCCGAATAGCATGCGAAGAGGGGTGGCGCTACACTCCATGCCTGCCACCTCACAGATCCCGCACGGCCTGAGAGCCTTCCGCCTCTTGACCATTCGCACACCCCACTGCGTCGCGTGCCGTAATCAAGAGCAGCTGCGACTCGGTGCTTCTCCAGACGCTGTCACCGTCGACATGCAACGTGACGAACAGCCGCTTGCCACCACGCCAGAACCGACAAGGTAGCGCGCCACTGGACATTAATCGAGCCTGGGCTGCATTGTCCATGTTCTTTTGAGTTCTGCTGAGTGGCGAAGCTGCTTACCTTGCATTACCCTCTCATGATGCCGCCTTGAGGCTTTCGTGACCTTCAAGTCCTGATTCGAGATTGGAACGCTCGGTGCGAGGGCACGTCCACTACCTGTGCTGTATGCCTAGATATACGTGACTTCTCGATGACGCAAACACATCTGTGGACTGGTGCAAATCGAGAACGCTGGAAGGCTCACAACGTGGACTCATCCAGGCATGATGGAGGTTTGAGAGCAGACTGCAGAGCGGTGCGTGACGCGACACCGTGCAGCTGCTACCATGTCGACCGGTACGTGGCGCCTGTGCTTGCATGTTCTGCGATTTTGTACGGTGTACGTGCGGCGGGGTGTACATGCGGCGGGCTGAACTTGTATGCGCGGGCCTTCTCACGCGATCCGCTCGTCGTGGCCCACCTTCCTTCGTTCCTCTTCGCCAAGTCCGTCTGACTTGGATTTGCCCTTCAAACTCAGGAGCGTCTTCAACAAAGCTCGAGAATTTCGACCACAAACGGATATCAGAGATTTGAGATTGGACTCAAGTGTGAATGCGAAGAATCTTCAATAGTCTAGAATCGCTCAATCCAAAAGTCACACGTCGAGAATGAAAGATCAAATGTATTCGACGCGGGCAACGGGCGGCGTCTTGAATATCAGTGCTCCGAGACGATAACGAAGGGATGTGGACCAAAACACAGCGTACGGTTCATGGCACTTTTGATTGAGTCATTGGCCAGAGAGCGCTGAGAGTAGAAGAAAAGAGCGTGTGATTTTCGAGACGCGTGCGGCAGCGACACGAGGACCAAAGCGGCTAGCTGCCATTTCTGGTTTTCGCAGCGAGCCAAAAGGGTCGAGAGACCTCGCTTACGACTCAACTGCTAGGGGGAGAAGTGGACTGTAGGGAACGAAGGAGCATCGAATCAGAACACCAGCGTCTGCTATCATGGCAAAGCGCGGTAGCAATATTCTATCGCGTCGCTATACTATTCATCCACGACCACTGAGGCGCACAGTGCTAAAGGGTCATCCTCTTGAAGAGACAACTCACGATCAGGTGACAGCTGATGAAAAATCGATCGCTTGACAGGACCGACCGAGCACAAGCACCCACTTCTTTCCACCACGCTGCGATCACTCCTGCAAGCCCTCTACAGGGAATTACCGTGCAGGCTGATCAGGAGGAGTCAAGTCATTGGCCCATCTAATCTTGTCCTTATCGCGATTGAGGCATTCGGCTATTTCACCTTTGTCCGGTCTGGTAAAAGCGCCGCCAAAGCCGGTGGTGTAATCGTTGATGAGTTCATGGGTATAGCTTCTTCTCTCTGCGCCAAAGCGCACGCAAGTGACGGATACGTAGTGCGCCATTGTACTTGGCCAGCCGCAGTAGTCCAGCATCACCATGCCACCTCCGTGCGGGGTCAATTGGAAGCAATGGTCCATCCAAAATGTCTGAAAAGTCCTAATGTCCATCTCTGGTGGCGGTTTGATAACATCCATCGCTTGGAAAAGTCGATAGCCGTTGGGTCCGTATAGACCGCCTTGAGAAGTCACTTTCATGAAAGGCCCGCTCTCTTGACCTGCTGCCCCGTCGTTACCTGCCTTGACATTCGTGCCTTGCAGGGACGGGCCATGCTTGGGAATGTGGCGTTGGGTGGTAGGCTCAGGAAGGCCCATGACTGACTGCATCAGCAGCGTAGCGAGCATGGAGAGCCCAATCGCTGTCGCATGACGGCTGCACGGTCTTACGAGAAGCGACATGTGGGCCAGCCCTGAGGCGGTTGCTGCAGTTCGATCAGCTGAGCAAATGGGAATGACGGAAGAATTGCGAAAGGGAGGGCAAGATCCAGGCGGGCCCGCAAAAGGGGGTCAGGGAGGTAAATGGCCGGAGAAAACATGGCGAAGCGAGCGGCGAGTTGGCAAGAGGTCGGTCGTCACGACAGCATTATTGTATTCTGCGAGGTGAAGGTCAAAGCGCGTTGCCGCTGATGCGCGGAGTCTACGCCAGGGTTACTGGATGTCTCGTAGCATCGTGGCTGAAGGCACACGCGCCCTAGCCTTCTGCCCGCTCCTCGCTGTGGTTGTCTTGATCGTCTCAGCGACCTTGATGGCGCTATCATGATGTAGTGCCTTGCACACCGGGTCAATCGAGTGGATTTCTTGACCTCTCCTCTACCTTGCTGACCGGCGCCCCTCTGCTCATCGATCACTACCATCAAACGCCTGCCAATGGGCTCATGTGGATGTCATGGTGCCAGCGTGATGTTCAAGTGACCGGCGCAGAGCAAATTGTCCATCCTTGAGCGCGCGGTACCTTTCCAGTGATCGACCCGCATGCACAGATTGATGTGATCCAAAGAGCGCGTAGTTCTTTGTCTACTTGTGCCTTGCGCCGGCAAGAGGTAACAGCCGAGGGATGCCGAGTAGGATGATATTTGTCGCCTTTGGGTCCGGGTAGGATCATTTTCCGCGCAGGCCAAGAGAAGAGGAGCCTCATGTGAAATGTGAGACCATTCGCTCAGGGAGCGACGTTAAATCAAGAAGGTGGCACGCGTGTCGAGAATACCAAGTTCATCGTCAAGTCCATGTACGTCGAACAAATGTCATCACTGGAGGGAAGCAAGCAAAAGAGTTTGATCTACACATGATGCGTTTTGGTATACGGTGAGTCGAATTAAAGACTTGGTGAGCGCGAGCAACGAAAAGTTCAACGCGGTTCATGACATCGTAAGGGAAAGCGGGGCATTGCGGGATGTTGTAATAACTTCGAGGCCTTGCGATGAGGTCTGCCTGGGAATATGATGTTGAGACGGCCAACGGCTACACCCGCAAAGCCGATACCACGGGATTGCAAGCACGGGACAGATTTGCGCATCGAGTGATTGTGCCGCTTCATGCTCATGCGGTCTCCTACGTCTTTCTTGCTCCTGCGCAAAGTTCCGATTCAAGTCTGTTAGTGGCCAAGCAACCTCGACAGCACGAGTCTTAGCCTCGGACTTGAAGCACGCTACACTGACGACCGCCGCGCATTGCACTCACTGTGAGGTCGTGCTGAAAAATTTACGACGGGTATTCTTCTCCGACTGTGAGACACTCCGTCACCTCTTCGTCGCTTGGTCTACTGAACCCCAGACTCTTGCTATAGTCGTCGATGAACTCTTGAGTGTAGGATAGTCTTTCAGCTCCAAAGCGGACGCACGAGACGTCTGCAAAATTTGCGATGTGAGTCTTCTTACCCACGCCGCAAAAATTGGCCCAGACAAGTCCGCCTCCATGTGGTGTCATCTGGAAGCAGCGATCCATCCAGAAGACGGTGAATTGGTCAATGTCCATCTGGGGAGGGAGCTTGATTCGATCTAGATTCGAGATCAAGTGGTGACCGTTGGGGCCGTACAACCCAGTCTTGGAAGTGATTCTCATGAATGTTCCAGCCTCCCCCGATCCCCGCATACCGCCTTTCGTCTGGAGATGACCTCCCGTGCGAATTCCAGGGGGGTTGGACTCTGTGCCGCCTGTGCCAGGCTCAGGATTGCCAGGGTCTGTAGGAGAGTGAGAGATTGAGGGACCATGCTTTGGCACGAATCTTTCCGGCCTTGCATGTGGATGAGGGCGTCCAAGGAGCGAAGACGATAGGGCGCAAAGAGCAAGGAGCATGAATAGCAATGCCATGGTGTCGCTCTCCGTCACGTGTCAAGCTTGCCGCGCCAGATATGACTCGATCTTGTGGGAGAGGAGTTGTTGGTGATGCCGTGAAGGGGAGAAGGTGGTCAGTGGTGGTAAGTTCGGAATCAAAAAGCGGTAGTGGG